CAAAGAGCCCACGGAGCTCATGGGGCCCCATGGGCCCATCCTCCCCCAAAACTCAGGCGTCCCGACCAACTGCTACAGTCCACACAATTCCAATCCGGTTTTCACTTCCTGTTTGCGAGGGGTGGGCGGTCATCACACAGACACTAGCTTTTACATTAACAGGCTCATAAATAATGTCAAGGGAACTGACGCAAATATTTTGCTAGACAGATGCCATTTATTATGATTTATATTTGCCCGCCATCAGTTAGCTTACATGTCAACTGCAGTGATGCTAATAGAATGAAATATGTCTGTTGGAGTCTGTCTTGGAGAAAGTTAGTGACAGTTTCAGATTAATTAGATAGATTTGGTTACATGTTTACATGTATTGGAGATTTAAGATCAATATGTAGATTTTTATGGTTTTTTAGAGCGTTGCTATGCTGTTGCTGTGGCATTCTGAGTGGTTTAAGTGTGTTGCTATGGCATTCTGAGTGGTTATAGTGCATTGCTATGCTGTTGCTAAGGCATTCTGTGAGGTTTTAGTGTGTTGCTATGCTGTTGCTAAGGCATTCTGAGTGGTTTAAGTGTGTTGCTACGGCATTCTGAGTGGTTGTAGTGCATTGCTATGCTGTTGCTAAGGCATTATGAGTGGATTTAATGTGTTGCTATAGCATTCTGAGTGGTTGTAGTGTGTTACTATGCTGTTGCTAAGGCATTCTGTGAGGTTTTAGTGTGTTGCTACGGCATTCTGAGTGGTTGTAGTGCATTGCTAGGCTGTTGCTAAGGCATTTTGTGTGGATTTAGTGTGTTGCTATAGCATTCTGAGTGGTTGTAGTGTGTTGCTATGCTGTTGCTAAGGCATTCTGAGTGGATTTAGTTAGTTGCTATGGCATTCTGAGTGGTTGTAGTGCATTGCTATGCTGTTGCTACGGCATTCTGTAAGGTTTTAGTGTGTTGCTATGCTGTTGCTAAGGCATTCTGAGTGGATTTAGTGTGTTGCTATAGCATTCTGAGTGGTTGTAGTGTGTTGCTATGCTGTTGCTAAGGCATTCTGAGTGGTTTAAGTGTGTTGCTACGGCATTCTGAGTGGTTGTAGTGCATTGCTAGGCTGTTGCTAAGGCAGTCTGAGTGGATTTAGTGTGTTGCTATAGCATTCTGAGTGGTTGTAGTGTGTTGCTATGCTGTTGCTGAGGCGTTCTGAGTGATTTGAGAGCGTTGCTATGCTCTTACTAAGGCATTCTGAGTAGGTTAAGTGTTTAATTAAAACTATTTGTAAAACCCTATCATTTCAGCTACAGGAATGAGCCCCAAGGAACCATCCAGTCTGATCTCTTTTTAAAAGTTTGTAACTAGTTTCAGATTTGTGGCAGATGGATAACGTATATATTCAATTTTTCTGATCATTTTACTCAAACACAGCAGTGAAATTTGTTTGAGTCTTCTCTCTGTTAGTGCCACAAGTTTAGCCCACTGGAACGTAAGGCCAGCAAATGGAGAGGAAGGGATATGACTATGACCTCTGCTGGGATAAACGGGGAAACAGAGGGTTTGTATTTATATACAATGGGCACTCAGCAGCCACTGCACGCTGGGACTGAGAGCTTTCACCACTGCGTGGGGTTAAAGGTTAATAGCCTCTTGGAGTTTCATGCAAAGGATGAGAGGTCACAACAGGGAGATGAAGACAAACAGGTCCAAAGTTTCAGTAAATTCAGATAGTTTTAAGTTAGAAAAGAATAACCTGTGCTTTAATAGGCATTTTTACGTGTGTACAATCAGGTTTTTATTATCTTACAACCAGTGCTGATTACTTACAAATAGTTTGTTAATGATTACAGATTACATGATGCAATTTGCAGTTAGTAATCCATAAAAACTAACTGTAATCTGATTATGAGCATTTAAAAAATGTAATTGAATCTAACTACGAGTACTTAATTTTTCGAATGTGACTACGGCATCCAGATGACATGTAATCAGTTACTACCCAGCACTTCTTACAACACAATTTGGTTGTGCTGATTTTAAAGATCTTTGAAGATGCAATACAGCAGATTTGATCACAGTTATGCTGAACATAAAGTGACATACTCTAGCTGTGACTCTTCCATGTGTAAGTCTATATAATCGTATGCCTAAAGCAAGATATTATGGCTTTACAATCATATCTCCTATAGCTCAGTTAAGATTTCATTTCCTGAAATCAACTATACAAATGTATGCCGTATAGAAACTGCAAAAGAAATTGTAATGACGCCACTGCGTAGGCTGATCTTAAAATAATAGCGTTCTGAATTTATTAGTCAAGATCAACTGCGTACAGGCTGCATAAAATGGCTAATTTTAGTTTAATGGTCACATATATTAAAGCTATTGAAAACTGGGCTGTGCCGAGCTAATTATTCAACCTAATTGCAGCCATGTAATGTCAACAAATAAGTCACTCTTTGCTCTACACCCTTCTTTACTCAGATTTAGAGATTGGTATCACTATCTGTGCCTGCACCTTCCTTTTCATGGAGCAAATGAGTCTACGATAAAGGCTTTGTCTTATATTTGTTTTAAGGAACATAATTTTTTTTTTTTCTTTTTAGTCATCAACGAGTGAACCACAAAGATTTTAATAGCTTCAAAATGTTCCATCAATCATTTTCTTTAGCAGTTGGCTTTGAGTCTAGGTTAATGTCACTGCCTGTTTTGGTATGTGGTTACCCTCCCTATTTGGATGTACTTTATGTGACAGCGAGTGAATTACTCAATGTAACATTCCAGATGTGAGTTTTGTCAAAATTTCCATATCCCTGTATGCTTCCAGTCTCTAAAACTCACACGGATTCGACACTTTGGCTCTCAAGATATACGACCGCCGAGAAATTAGCACAACAGACACTGTTGAAAAAAATGTATCATTGCTGCCTGATCTCTTTTTAAAAGTTTGTAACTAGTTTCAGATTTGTGGCAGATGGATAACGTATATATTCAATTTTTCTGATCATTTTACTCAAACACAGCAGTGAAATTTGTTTGAGTCTTCTCTCTGTTAGTGCCACAAGTTTAGCCCACTGGAACGTAAGGCCAGCAAATGGAGAGGAAGGGATATGACTATGACCTCTGCTGGGATAAACGGGGAAACAGAGGGTTTGTATTTATATACAATGGGCACTCAGCAGCCACTGCACGCTGGGACTGAGAGCTTTCACCACTGCGTGGGGTTAAAGGTTAATAGCCTCTTGGAGTTTCATGCAAAGGATGAGAGGTCACAACAGGGAGATGAAGACAAACAGGTCCAAAGTTTCAGTAAATTCAGATAGTTTTAAGTTAGAAAAGAATAACCTGTGCTTTAATAGGCATTTTTACGTGTGTACAATCAGGTTTTTATTATCTTACAACCAGTGCTGATTACTTACAAATAGTTTGTTAATGATTACAGATTACATGATGCAATTTGCAGTTAGTAATCCATAAAAACTAACTGTAATCTGATTATGAGCATTTAAAAAATGTAATTGAATCTAACTACGAGTACTTAATTTTTCGAATGTGACTACGTAATCCAGATGACATGTAATCAGTTACTACCCACTTCTTACAACACAATTTGGTTGTGCTGATTTTAAAGATCTTTGAAGATGCAATACAGCAGATTTGATCACAGTTATGCTGAACATAAAGTGACATACTCTAGCTGTGACTCTTCCATGTGTAAGTCTATATAATCGTATGCCTAAAGCAAGATATTATGGCTTTACAATCATATCTCCTATAGCTCAGTTAAGATTTCATTTCCTGAAATCAACTATACAAATGTATGCCGTATAGAAACTGCAAAAGAAATTGTAATGACGCCACTGCGTAGGCTGATCTTAAAATAATAGCGTTCTGAATTTATTAGTCAAGATCAACTGCGTACAGGCTGCATAAAATGGCTAATTTTAGTTTAATGGTCACATATATTAAAGCTATTGAAAACTGGGCTGTGCCGAGCTAATTATTCAACCTAATTGCAGCCATGTAATGTCAACAAATAAGTCACTCTTTGCTCTACACACAGATTTAGAGATTGGTATCACTATCTGTGCCTGCACCTTCCTTTTCATGGAGCAAATGAGTCTACGATAAAGGCTTTGTCTTATATTTGTTTTAAGGAACATAATTTTTTTTTTTCTTTTTAGTCATCAACGAGTGAAACCACAAAGATTTTAATAGCTTCAAAATGTTCCATCAATCATTTTCTTTAGCAGTTGGCTTTGAGTCTAGGTTAATGTCACTGCCTGTTTTGGTATGTGGTTACCCTCCCTATTTGGATGTACTTTATGTGACAGCGAGTGAATTACTCAATGTAACATTCCAGATGTGAGTTTTGTCAAAATTTCCATATGCCTGTATGCTTCCAGTCTCTAAAACTCACACGGATTCGACACTTTGGCTCTCAAGATATACGACCGCCGAGAAATTAGCACAACAGACACTGTTGAAAAAAATGTATCATTGCTGCCAAACTGCATGATGCCTGTAACTGCAAAAATGCACAGATTTGGCGTTGATTCTGTGATTCTGTGTTATGAAGGGGGGATGTTTGGTGTTGCACATTTTATCTGATCTGTAAATGCACATTGGGGCCCTTGAAACTCAACATTATTGGACCAATATGCAAAATATATTAATAAGTTCTACTTATTTTTTGTTGCAGCAAACAAGAAGTAGCGACAGATGTTTTCTTCCATAGTGTGATGCACATCTGAGTGTAACTGATTATCGAAAAAGAAGGCTTTGGTTTTATGTATTGATTGTTGATTGGATGTTGAGATGAGGGCGTGGCACACAACAGTGGAGGCAGGTGAGCGTAAGCTTGCAGGGGCGGGGTTTAAGCAGATGAAACGATTGGAGAAGTATAGTTATGATTAAACAACATTTTATTGATTTAACATTTATTAAACATTTTATGATTAAACATGTTTTAATGAAACATATGCACGGATTAATTGTTCATAATAAGATCTTTAACATGCATTTAGAAAATAGAGAAGGTACATTTTAATTTCAAGCTAATGTGCAATGCTTTTAGCTAGCAATATTCTCAGCTCTATACACAATTTACCATACTTAAATTTAAGTTTTGTGGTTTTTAGCTTTGATGCTGTCTACATGCTATTGTGTTCCTAAAATATTTAGCATGTTTCTTTACATTTAAAATGCAGCGTTTTCCAGGAAAACTGATCATAAATATTTGTGGGCTATTTATTTATTTAAAATTTTGATATGTCCGCTTTTTCAGTAGGAATTACGAAATACAGCACTCATCAGGCCAGGTGCTTTAAATTAATTTCATACAGAAAACATTAGAAAATACAGATTTTCTAATTTACTCATTCACATTATTTGTGATCTACACAACACAATTGTGTTTCTCTTCTTGATTTCTTTGCTTTCGATTAATGTAATTCTCTAAAAATGTGCTACTAGATTAAAATTTGTTGGTCGAATGTGAGGCAATCAATTATTTAAAAATTATTTTTGATGTTGACAAAATTTAAACTGTTGTTCCCAACATGCTTTGCATGGGGAGAGTAAAAATATTGTTCCACAAAGCTGTTTGCACCACCATCTTTTGTCACTTAATATTTTATTTTGGTGCGTCAATCTATTTAATTAGTATATGAAACCATGATCCACACTCACAAAAATAAACGCACTGAAGAAGTCCTGAAGCCGAAACATTTGTGTTTGGTCCTGCTGGTGATTAATGTAAAATAAAACGTTAAAAGAAGACTATTTTTGTGAGAGTAAAAATATTGAAATAAAGTATTAATTGAACAAGATGAGAAAAGGGGGAGACTTGATAGGTTTTACAAAATGTGTGGGAAAAAGTCTGCAGAACAATGTCACAAAGTGTATCATGCATGCTATTCTTGTCTCACAGACACTGGAAAACATCCCAGAATATGAAAATCTCCTGGCCAAACCAGGAAAACGATGACATTATGATGCTGTACAAATTAATCACCGCATGTTATTCCATCTTCTCATAGGCTGCAGAAAGATTGTGAGGAAAAAATACCCTGAAGGATTAACATTCTCTTCTCACAATGTTTCTAGGCAGCTGTGGGTTTGTGTTAAAGCACCAAACTGCAGCTGCATTAGCTGTGCATGGATCCTCTGAGTTAATACAAGTATAGGAATATCCACAATAATATGAAACAGACTTGCATATACTTTAATAGTTGTTAAAAACACAGTTCAATACTTTTGATGAGATGTTACTCAACTTAGTGTGTGATAAGCACTCAGATATGTCATACTATCAGCACTGTTGTCTCTTGAACAGGAAAAGTGTGTCTGCATCTGCAAACACATTTGATCAGGTGTAGTTAATGATTCTCGGCCCAGGTCTGAGTAGGGCGATCTGTTTGAAGCTGTAGTTAAGATCAATGCCCTGAATTTGTCAGGCATAAGGACTCCACATGTGGTGCTTTTGCAATATTTGTGTAATGTCGTGGCAACATGAATATGCCTGAAGAGCATTATTTGAATGTCAAGTGTCGGATGCATGGTGCCAATCTGTCTAGAGATGCATCTCATGCTAGAGAACATAATTTTCCCAGTGGGGCACATGCGATGATAACCAATCACATCTGCTCTGGTATATTGTGTTGCATATATTAATGTGCTGTTGGGATTGCAAAATGTCATCTGTTCTAATCTGACAAGCATTTGAAAGTTTTGGGACAATTTATATCAAGAAATATGTTACAAATTCCTTAGTACTTAAAATAATAAATCAAGCATGGTTGTCTTCATACATTATGCATGGCTGTATGCTCAGTGGTTGCTCTTATATAATTCAAGTCTTTTTCCTTTTCAGAATCGGTTCCATTTCTTTCATTTTTGGTTCAGTTAATGATTCTCAAATGCGCACTGTTAAGATGATAAAACACTCCGACATTGATTCCTGCTAAACTTATTCAACAACCTTGCAATAAGCTACCACCACTGAATCTACAGGACGAAACAGACAGTGTAGACGGACTCTCGAACAAATTACTCAAATGAATAGTTATTTTTATTGAATCAAAAACATACTGCTCAACAAGTGTAGCTCGATTTCTGAATTAATGACTCTTATGAGTTGGTTCTTTTCGTTGAATGAAAAAATACAGCAAAATAGTTTGATTCCTGAATGAATGACTCAAATGAATCAGTTCTTTTTGCAGCACTAACAGTGTAGTCTGATTCCCTAAACGGATGACTCTTATGAGCTGGTTCTTTTCAGTGAATGAAAAACATAAAGTAAAACCAGAGTAGTCCAATTCCCAAAAAAGGGTCTCTAATGAATCAGTTATTTTCAGTGAATCAAAAATCTACAGTGCAACCAGTGTAGTCTGATCCCCGAATCAGTGATACTTATACAGTACAACCACGTGGGATTCCTGAATGAATGACTCATGAATTAATTGGTTATTTTTACTGAATAAAAAACATACATTGTAACCAGTGTAATCTGATTCCCCGAACTAATGGCTCTTATGATCTGGTACTTTTCAGTGAATTAAAAATATAAAGTGGAACCAGATTTGTCCAATTCCCGAATTGGACTTTAATGAATTAGTTATTTTTACTGAATCAAAAACATGCAATGCAGTAAGTGTAGACTGATTTCCAGAACAAATTACTCTTATGAACCGGGTCTTTTCAGTGAAGAACATAGTGACTTAATTAATGAATCTGTTCTTTTTACTGAATCAAACACATACAGCGCAACCAATGTAATCTGATTCCTGAATGAATGACTTTCATGAGCCAGTTCTTTTCATTGAATGAAAAACATAAAGTAAAACCAGAGTTTTCCGATCTCTGAATGAATGGCTCTAATGAACTGGCTCTATGTTCAAAAACATACAGTGCAACCAGTGTGGTCCGATTCCTGAACAAGTGACTCTTATGAGCTGGTTCTTTTCAGTGATTCAAAAAATACAGCAAAACCAGGCCGACTCTTGAGTGAATGATTCTAATGAATCAGTTCTTTTTACTGAATCAAAAACATACAGCACAACCAGTGTAGTCTGTTTCCCAAAAGAATGACTCTTATGAGCCAGAGCCTTTTAGTGAATCAAACACACACAACTAACTAATAAGTGTATTTACTGACGGTTTATTAAAATTTTTTTTTATCTGAAAAGAAACGCTATGGAGAGAAACAGTTGAGTAAATAAGAGATAATCTCATTTGTGAAATGCATAATGTTCCTTTCACAACAACAACTGTCAATTTGTTTCAACCAAAAAAGAGTATTTCAAATTTATGCCACATTTTTATGTGTGCAACGCCCTAGTGTTTTAACAGCTAAAAATAAAACAGAACGATGGAAGTCATATTGTGCTGACTGGCTCCGTCTCATTAGAGTTTTTACTAGTGCCTGTACAGAAATGCTGAAATAATGTTCACGTCTCTTTCACGCCCAGAAATGTGCTGCGGTGTGAACAGAAGGGTGCTTTTCATGGATGCTTAATGTACATTGTATTGGAGTTTTATCTTTATGCTTTTTATGAGCTAACACATGAACATAATGCAGGAATAGCCAAAATAACCTGGATTTTTAATGCAGTTTTATCTAATTTTTCCTAACAATTATGTAAAACAGACTTCTAGTGCCTGTACAGAAATGCTGAAATAATGTTCACGTCTCTTTCACGCCCAGAAATGTGCTGCGGTGTGAACAGAAGGGTGCTTTTCATGGATGCTTAATGTACATTGTATTGGAGTTTTATCTTTATGCTTTTTATGAGCTAACACATGAACATAATGCAGGAATAGCCAAAATAACCTGGATTTTTAATGCAGTCTTATCTAATTTTTCCTAACAATTATGTAAAACAGACAATCAGATTTTAACCTCATTACTTTCCACAGTTACGCTAAACAGACAACCATCGGTTGTAAGCAGCCATATCATCTGGTCATGGCAATGGAGGTTGAAGGCAACCACATCTGTTGAATCAGGGCACCTACAGTGCTTCTCTTTTCGCTGGAGAATGTTTCTGTCTACGGCCCAGGTGAAGAAAGTCTCCAAGCCACAACATGACATCCATCTCAGGATCTTTAATGAGGATGTCTGCCACTGGAGACGCTGGACTCATGTGAGGCCCACATCGGTGAGGACAAAGGGTGAATTATTCCCTGGCCGAGTGTGGCTAGAGGAAGTAGTGCAGATGCCAATGGAGATAACTGAGTGTGGGTTCGAGTTTCCACCAGCTGGTCGCACATACTTGTGCTGTGCACAGAACTGTGTATAATTGAGTGCAGAGTGTGTGCAAAACGTATTCAAATATATTTCTGAATGGCTGCAATGTCTTTTGAATGGCAAATTTTTTTATAAAAATTTGGAAATTAAGCATTATTATGATAAAAGGAAGAGACTTGATCATGTTCAATGTTCAATTACAATTCTGTCTAATTATATATTTAAATTAGGGCTGTCAGTCGATTACAATTTTTTATCTAATTACAGGGTGCTGCGATGAATTAGATTAATTCATCACAGCACCCTGTAATTAGATAAAAAAAAATTAAACTAAATTTGGCTGTGAAAATACCCCCAAAAGATCATTTAAACCTATTATTGTGTTAAACGTTTAGGCTACAATGGCCTAACATAAAGTATGGAACATAAAAGAAGATCATTCGAGAAACATCTCAGTATTTTTTGTTCATGCAATCAAAGTCACTAGTGACCAAAACAGCTTAGTTACCAACAGTCTTCAAAATACCTTCTTTTATGTTGTGCAAAAGAAAGTAAGTCATTCGTGTTTGAAATAACAAGAGGGTGACTAAATGATGACAAGAATTTATTTATTGATTTATTTTTGGTGAACTATCCCTTTAATGTTTTTTTTTTTTAAAGGGGTCATCAGATGCTAAATTCACTTTTCAAGTTGTTTGAACATAAATGTATGTTGGAAGTGTGTGTACACATCCATCCTATAATTATAAAAATCCATCCAGTGTTTTTTTTTTAAATCCCTATTTTAAA